CCATTAAACATTTTCTGATGCTCCAGATAGTGAAAAACACCCTTTACTGCAGTGGTTCTAAATTCTGGTCCACGTGACCCAGTATCCTGCAGGTTTTAGTTGTTTCCTTGCTTTGACACACCTGATTTAAATTATTGGGTGATTGACAGGCTTCTGTAGAAACCTGCAGAGGCGCAGGGAAACAACTAAAACCTGCAGGATACTGCGTCACGAGGACCAGAATTTAGAACCACTGCAGTAAAGGGTGTTTTTCACTATCTGGAGCATCAGAAAATGTTTAACGGGAGAGATGTTTAAATCATAAAGAAACTGTCATGTTGGAATAGCAATTATGTTTTAGTTTGTTTGTTGAAAGACATCAACACAGATACTTATGTATTCATTTATCACAAGTTATATCATCATCATCATCATCATCATCATCATCATCATCATCACCACAATAATCAGTTATTGCACATCACACAGGTTTTCCTGATATTTTGCAGCCAAAAAGTTTTCTTCCACCTCAGGATGTAATACTTTGTGATCAAAATATCTAAAACATCTTGTACTTTATGCTCTTTCAACAGATCAGAAACTGTCCCAGACACGCGGGAATATATGGAGGAATCATCTTTCAACAATAATGTATTTACCTGTGCAAATAAATAACAGATTTATTTTACCCATATGTCAAATAAAGCATATATTTAATAATCCTGTGAAGTTAATTGTGCCTATGCATCTGATAAATCTTTAAAAACTTTTCTTTTTTGCTAGACAAAGTTATTTTAGGTCCCTTCAGACATACTGGACAYRTTTCAGTGTATTACCACAAGAGACATAAAATAACAGTGTCTATTAAAAAAGACAAGTTTTAAGAGCATATTTTTAAGATGTTAGTTCTTGTTTTGCATGTCTAGCACTGACCCAAAGATTTATCATGATTCCTAATGTAAGTTTGTGTTTTGTAATTGATCAAAAGATAATTCAGTAATGTTCAATGATAAAGTGATGCTTTAGTTCTAATAAGCAGTTACAAAAAACTAAAATCATTTAACACTTTATTGAAGAATATTTACCAAAATTATAATAGAAATATTMATTTAAATAGGAAAATGTTTTATACATGGCAAGACGGTATTAAAAATGCATTGCCTCAAGGGGATAAGTCCACTGTGCTGTCCATGAAGATGTTTAAAACAGTCCTGGAAGTCCACACTCAGCAGCCTGCTCTGACCAGAAGTGCAAGTCACAAACTGCCTGTTGTCTTCAGCATCATCTGAAAGGTCAGCTACAGATCCTCCTGGCCAGAAACAAGACTCCTGCCTGCAGAATATGTGGTTTGATGAGTGGAAGGTAGGGTTGAGATGCAGATGTCYTGCTGAGGTTCTCAGGAGCTGAACCCACTCTGCTGCGTCTCCCAGTGACCTGCGTGATTCTTCACCACAGCTTCTCTCCATCAGCTGGTAGATGATGATTGTCAAAAACTAGCTGCATAGCATAAAGATAAAATGCCACACTGTGCAAAGCAAGAGCTGAAAAATACAAATACACAGGCTTGTCATGTTGCTGAAATCCTAAAATGGTTCTGAATTCCGGTCTTCGTGACCCACTATCCTGCATGTTTTAGATGTTTCCCTGCTCTTCAGCAGGTCTTTGTTCTGCAGAAGCCTGTCAATCACTCATTCATTTAAATCATGTGTTCCAAAGCRGGGAAACAACTAAAACATGCAGGATAGTGGGTCACGAAGACCGGAATTCAGAACCACTGCGCAGCATCGGTGTTGTGTTATCTTGAAAGCTATTTATAACTTATAGAAAGAGTGCAACATAATTTACATGTAACRTTATGACAAAAGGAGCACTTGTGTAGATAAAGTATGGGCAAGACATGATAGTTAAAAATATATTGTTGATTGATTRTTCTTACCTGTGACGGCAGCTTAGCTCTGAGCTCTGTACGGTGGCTCACCTCCTGTTTACAAGCGTGCGCGCTCCCGACTCCGGGCCCAGCTGTGGGGGAGGAGCTTAGGAAGGGGAGCTGAGAGCAGGGGGAGGGACTACAAGGTTGTTCCTGTTCAAAATTTTTCTAAGTTTTTGGGTTTTCAAGAAACTACATACAGCAGCTTTAAACAGAAAACAGTGRGGTCATATGATGCATATCAAGTGCCCCCATTTAGCTCCGAAAATCTCCAGCTAAATTTAGACTGGATTTAGTTTGAAAAGTTTAGTCCTTTGGTTGGAATACGAATACAATTCTTGGTGCAGTTCAAACCAAACAGGACCCTCAGATTCAGCTGGTTCATCAACACACAAACTTAACCTGAGCAGTGTTTTATATGCTTTCCAGTGCAGTGAAAAGTGTTCAGACAAAGGACTCAGTGGTCCAACTGCATCCCAAGTAAAGGGGACAGTCTTTTGAAGACAATATTCGGTATGTTTGGACATAAAAGACAAATCAAAAAAAATGTAAGCCATCCACGTTAAGCAGGGAAAACCAATTCTAAACAAAGAGAAATGAAAGTATGAGTTTTGATCACATGTGATGGCAATATGGTGCAAACAAATGATGAAGCAAATAAATGCATTTGCAGTAATGACAGTGTTGCTCCAGTATATTGTGGTGAAGAAGGAGCTGTGCAAAAAGACAACGCTCCAAATTTACTGGTTTGTCTACATTTCAGCCCTCATCTGTGATCACTATGGATTATGACTGAGATAAGATCTGTGATTTAAGCAGTTGAAATGAACTTCCTTCATAGGGCTGCTGGGCTCAGCTTTAGAATGAGTGTGAGGTAAATGTTGAGGTTTCCCTTTTGGATATACTTCTTTTGTGACTCAATCATAGATGGAGGATAATGACTACAATGCAGCTTTCTTGCCTGCCAGTTTCTCAACCATCAAAATAAACACCTCTGCTTCACATTACCTTACATTAGTGTGGTCTAAACAATTCTGTTAATACAAACATCCCAATTTTCATTTATAAACCAAAAACTACTGTTGGAACTGAAGAAAGCTTTTAGATGAGAGGGGAAACATAAAAAAGCCCAGTTATCTTTTAAGACAACTCAGGAACACCTACCTGTTCATTTTTAATGATTAAATATGTTTATCCTTTTTACTGTTATTGTTTAAACAGTATGATCTTTAGGAAGAAATACCGCTGAATTTATTTCAGCATTAGACTGTTGTAATTACCACAATATAAATTAGCGTCTGTTGCTTCCAGCTTTATCACAGTGGGGAATCAGACCTCCATCTGTGTTAAAGCGAACAAATATTTTGCCTTGTTTTTTAAAGGCAAACGACACAAGTAAAAAGGCCAGCTTTACTCCTGATCGTGGAACATATAACACAGTGGTTTCAGTGTTTCTCACTTCTTGAAAAGGCGAAAAAGATACTCGACCCTCCTCCCTTGACTTCATAGCAGTGAAGAGGAAAAGAGAATTCATCTGGAGGAGTTCAGGGTGCAGTGGTCACAGCTCAGGAGCTTTGTCCTAGTCTCATTTCTGCCACAGGAAACCCTGAACAGAAGGTTTCATGGAGCAGACTTGCCTGAGGGGAGGGGGGGGGGCACTTTTTCATCAGAATATAACCCAATATAACCCATTTTGTACAGCTTCAAAGTCGGTGCAAGCTCAGACTTCAAGGTATCACATGAAACTTTTATCAATGAGCTGAGATGTGCAAGAATAGAAAGGAACTTAGAGAGCAAGGAAAAGAACAGGGTTTAGAGTTGAATTTGATCCTGATAAGGAATCCTGTGGCATTTTCTTCTGCTCAAACCAATTAATGATGAGTAATTTAAGTTAAAAATGAAGGAACGTGTTAGCAGGATTCAGTTATTCTCAGGGGATTGGTGTTACATGTCCATTACTGAAGATTAGGCTCAAAATTAATTGTTGTGGTTTTGTGTGCGTTTTCTTGCCAGTTTTTCACCCTTTGCCACTTGCTTTGCAAAACTTGTCAGTGGATGCAAATGCTTGCAGCACATGGTCAAAAATGATGTACGCATGTGTGCTACAAGTGTATGGGAGGGTGATGCTCTTTTGGAAGGCATCACATTCGTTTAGCATGTGCCTAATGTTGTGGGTGCTGTGACTGACTGAGCAGAAGGAAGAGGGCAGCCAAGCAGTCTGCTGCCAGTGTGTCTGCATGGGAGAAATAAGATGGAGCTGCTGCTCTTCTACCCTCGGTAAGCTCATCCACAAAGAGCACTTTTGAAAAGACCTGGCTAAAACACGACAACCTGCTTGCTTAAACATATTTCCATGTTGAAGAGCAGGGAGGACTTTGCTCATTTCCCAATATTCTTACTGGTTGTAATAATCAAAAATAGTCAAGGTTTTAGGTATTTACTGCTTTGCATTCACAAAATAATTTTTTAAAATGCTTTGTTTGCCTTGTATTTAATTCGCTGAAAGTTAAAATAGCACAGTTATACAGGAAAACTCAGTCTACTGCAATAAAAGTAACTTTGTGAGCCTTCTTTTATTCCTGTTGCAGCTCCAGCAGACGGGTTTTAATTAGTGGGACATTCCACAGAGTAAGTTAGCGACCAAGTGAGGGGAAAGAAGAAGTGAGGAGTGCAGTGTTTGTGACAGTCTCTCTCATTTGAGGCAGATAAAAGATGAAAATGGAGCCTTTGATTCTGGTCTTCAGCAAGGCCAAAAGAGACTGAAGCACGATGGAAAAATGAACCGCTATTGAAGAAGAGACCTTGTTGCGTTAACGCACATCTTTAGTGGATTAAGAGTTTGATGCTTCAAAACACAAGCTGAATTGCTGTGTAATGAYGAGCTCTTCAAAAAAGTTGATCTGCAGTTTAGTTTCAGATGGAGGCCTCTTCTGTTTTGGGGGTTTAAAAAGCATCTCCTGCTGTGAGGTTTTTGCTCCAAAGTAAAACTAAATTCTAATGAAATCTGGTTTGAGTTTATCTTTTAGGATGTGAAGTAGGTTATTGTTTTTAATATGGTAAAAGTTAAATGCTTATTGATTTATGTTTCATTCTCTGCTCCACTGTAGAGTTTAGTATAGAGTAATATGGTTACTCTTCRAATACTGCAGCTGTGACTTGACAACAGGGCGATCCTCTAACTTGTGACTCAGTGTTTTCAGGAAAAAAATGGTAATCTACTTTTTTCTGTACAGCCCAGAAGTGTGTTTGTAATGAAAGACCTCTTACTGTAATCTGTGTGTAGCCGTCAGTTTAAATCACAATAAAATGGAGTACATCTGCCTTAAAGTGCCTGTGACTTCAAATTTTGGTAATGCATATGAATGCATTTTTTAAAAGATGACATTGATAAAATATTGCAAAATAAATTTCATGCCGCTGAGATGAACAGTTGTTGAGATATTTGCCTGTAAAGTAACAGGAAGTGATGTCAAAGGGGAATGTCTGAATGTGAACAGAGTAGTGCTACAACAGCCAACAACACACTGTAGAGAAGAATGTTTAAGATTATTTTGAGTCTCTGTCAGAGATGAAGAGTCAGAGTTCAAATAATATTTCATTAAACAAAGACCTGAGTCTTCTTTGTTAAAGAGTTCCCCTTTGATGTCACTTCCTGTTTCACTTTGGCTGAGTCAAGTTCAAAAGAAAAAATGCCAGTTAAGGGGTAAAACGGGTAAAATCGTGTGTATTATTCCAACTTTCTTAAACATAAAGATGTTTTCTTTGACGTTTTTGTATTTGAAGAATATGCATGCCAGAGACACTTTAACATTAGGGTTCTGCTATGCTTAGTGGTTTTTGCACACACTGCCTCTAGAAAACTACAAATATCAGCGCGTGCTGCCTTGCATCTCCTTCACTCGTTTTCTCTTAGAGATGCTACATCTGCTGGTGTCTGATGCTTCTGATTCATTTTTTATTTGAGACATTTGCTGTTTCTGTTTCTTCATTTACAGCGACCAGTTCCACAAAGCTGGAAGACCTGAGCTTCCTCGATGAACAACGCAACACCCCCCTGCGGACGTCCATCCGCCTGCCGTGGCACAACACTGGAGGACGGCCACCTCAGGACTCTAAAGGTGACTGCAGTCTTATAAAACTCACAATGGAGAAGCTGCGATACAGTCATAGTGTGRAATCTTATAGTCACCAAAAAATAAGATCAGAAGAGAGAGTTTTTGTAGTTTGTGTTCAGTAACGTGTCTTAAATTGTTTTGGTTTCACTCTGGTACATTAGGAATAAAACTGTCTTTCATCTGTGTCGAACGTCCTCAAATCAAAGCACTTGAATAGTTTTAGTCGTATTTAAAACTCCAATGCCATGGCTACACGAACAAAAGCTAAACTGTGAAGATGTTTTTTGTGAGCCGCAGCTCAGTGCCTATCATCCTGCATTCTTCTCAGTAAAGAAATTCTTTGTTCAGCTCGCTTCATTCTTGTGTGGATCTTCTGCGTCATTGAAACATTCTTCCAAATTACTGTTTAATGAAAACAAGAATAACTTAGTTTTCTTTAGATATGTAGATCTTTGGAAACATGGAGCTTATCTTTAGTTCTTGCAATTACAGATTATTGGAAACAAACCACTAAATATTTAGATTTTTTTTTTGTTGCTGAGCTAAACATGTTCAACACTGATACCTGAATTGCTATAATAAAAYGACCTCACAATACTTAATATATCAGTCTCTAAAATTCTATTTATTCTTTTGTGCCACCTCAAATAATTGACTTTTTTTTCTCATTCGCAGCACGTTTTGCTCCCTACAAACCCGTGGACATTATGCTCAAGCCATTACTGTTTGAGGTACCCAGCATCACTACAGACTCTGTGTTTGTTGGACGAGACTGGCTCTTTCAGAAGCTAGAAGATGTCCTGAAGGCCAGTGAATCCAGTGGGAACCAGGGAGCAGTGGTGCTGGGCAGCGTGGGCTTTGGGAAAACGGCCATTATCTCCCGGCTGGTAGCGCTAAGCTGCCATGGAGGACGCATGCGTCAGATCGCCTCCAACAGTCCCAGTGCCTCCCCGAAAAGTAATAGTTTTTTTTTAATGTAAAGTTTCATTAAAAGTGGATAATATAGATTTGGCATTAAATGTATTGTTTACATGCTTTRCCTTTACATCATACAAAAAATTGCTCATGTATCAATAACAAAAAATACATTAATTATGGATTAGTAGAATTAGAGGAATGTATTGCTTGTTTGTTTTGCCACTTCACTCTGACACAGCCAACATCCAAAGCAAAACTTTAAAAAACCTTGATTCTTCTTAACCTGTGAAATGTTGTCACAGAACACAGATTATCAAAGAACCAACTTTAAATAATTTTTTTAGCTACTTTGTTAAAGCACTCTGGCAGAAAGACACATTTTTCTCCATTTTTTTATTTAGTTATTTTTTTAAATACCAAATAAAACCCCTACAAGGTTATTCCTTTAAAGCTCAAAACTTAAAATATAAGATAAACTAAAACCTGATGCATCTCAGCTCTGTATTGCGTCTTTGCAGGAATTTTGATAATTTTTCTCTAAGACACGAATTTCTGAAACTGCCTATCTGCTGTATGTAGTTTTTTAGGCCAGCCATTTTTTCTTTAATTTTTATGTTAAAATAAAATCTGTCTCCAAGAAATTTAGTTAGGTTTAAAACTTTTGCTTAGTACTGTTTATATTAAAAGTCCTTGTACATCTTCTAGGCGGAGCAGGACAAGGCACAGAGCTTCCCCTCAGCCAGCCACCGCAGCCCACTCCGCCATCCAGCGCCACCAACACCCTGAGTGCCCACAGCTGCCCAGGAACCCCCGAGATGCAGCGGCGCAGGGAGGAGGCCGTCAAACGTCTGGCTTCAAAGGTAGGAAACTGAGCCAACTGTGTTTGTTAGTGTCTGCATTAAAAAAATAATAAATCAAATGCCTGCCAGGAGATTTGAAGTGAAATTGCAATTAGCATTTCAAAAATATAGATTTGATGATTCAAAAAGTGATTGTGGCACTTGTTCAAATAACATTTGACGGCTGTGTTCATCATAGCCTCTGGCAAGTGAAGCGAGTCACATAATCTTATTAGAAAGCCATGTTCTGTTAGGGGGAAAAAATGTCATTGACATTTTGTGAGCCCGATCACACTCACCAAYATAGCAACAGGTCACAATCTAAAGACATCTGATATGAGGAAACACGATCAACAAATACCCAACCCCACAATCCACGGGGCACAAATACCAAACCACATAGTTTTAACTTGATATATGCCTTATGGTTATTTGTGACCATCAAATGATCTCATAGCTGCCAAGGAGTGCTACAAACATGTCTTCAAATATACAGATATAGACGTGAAATCACAAAAATGCATCCCTCATCGGATACTCAAATGTGTTACCACCGACAGTTTATTCCTTTTTATTCCCTTTGTCTTTTATGACAAACAAAACTTTGTGTTTTATTTTACTTTTGTGGGAGCAAAGTTGTTTGGGGGTAAAGTACTCTACATGCTTTTCTGCCTTAAATGAAGAAGTCTACTGACGACACGCGTGTGTCTAATTGTTCTGACAGTCTTAAGCTGTGCACATCATGCTGGGTTCAGACGAAAAAACTGCTGTTTTTCATCTTTGTACGGACATATTAAACAAATGCGTTCAAACGTTTAACAGGCTTAGCTGTTTGCTCCTGTTTTTAGTATTTGTGCTAAAAATGATGGCTGAAGTTAATAATTCTTGTTTACTAAAACTCTTGAGAAAAGTTGAAAGAGGCATACCCGACCATTTGTGTTTCTTAAAACTGTTGATAAATAAATCCTCACCAGATTAAGAAGTGTCATCTTATTATTACACATCAACATGGGCTGTGTGTGATATAKCAAGGAGAGTTGAAACATATATACACATTTTATAAAGCTGACTAAAATTTTGAGGGATTTTATATATTTTAGCATTTCTGTACCTTCAGGACAAGTTTACCTTGCAATAACAAGGAGAAGATCTATGATTCTGAGTGGCATTAACTTGATTTGATTAGTTCTGCTGATGGTTGTGAGTATTTTTCTTAATTAGCATAATTTATCCTGTTAATAGGCCTTTTTATTTGACTGAAACAGGCATTCATTGGCTTTCACTTTGTCTAATACTGCCTAATACAAGCTGGTWTTCTCATAACATATTTTAAATTTARCAGGCTCTCCCTGCCATGGCTGCCTTTATTGTAGTACACATTGACATTGCACAACTTTCGTTTGCCATTGGGACAGTTCATGCACCAGATAGCTCACTATTTATGCAGAGAAATCCTAAATGTCTGTGAAACCCAAGAAATATCTCTTGAGCAAATTACTGAGTAAAGTGTTTCCAATAGGCGCTCTCTCAGGGGGCTCTGTTCCTGTGATGTGTGAACTCTGATGCAACACTGAGCAGCTTCTGTCAAATTCTGCCAGCTCCTTTTAATCATTGGTTTAAAAGTGGTCTCATAACAGGGTTCTGAGGCTATTACGTGCCATGGTGTATCACAAGCTTTATGCCTTATTTCTTTTACCGAGCCCACTTTCAGACATTTGTTTCTAGACATGAATTTGTGGTTGTGCTTTAGATTAACTGCTGCAGGTTCACTGCAGTGTTGCATCATCCTGTCTTCCATTGCTTATTGATGCAGCGCTCTGGTTGACTTGTGCTTATAGAACGTACAGGTTACCTTACAGTTTCCACTYGCCCTTTTAGATATTCCCTCTCATGTTTTCCTGCAGCAGCTACATCGACTAGCTTGTGCCTTCTGCAGTTTCGGCTTTTTCTGCAGATGTTTGCCTCTTGTGGGATAAAAACCACCTCCCAGTCTTATTCTTTATACATAACATTATTTTAGATGATATATATTAGTTGTTTTTACTCTTTTAGCTTAAAGGTGTTCTCTTTTGAGCTAATGATTCATGCTGTCCCTACCTAACTTTGTACCAGACGTCTGGAGCAGAAAAACAAGAAAATGCTTTATGTTTAAATGGCTGAGTCATTCCATTTGTTTAGTTTAAATTATGAGGTTCTCTTTGGAGCAACACTTTTACTACTGCATTCAGATGAGATATTTTAGAAGATGAAGTATRAAACCTTACGTCATTGTAATTTGGGCCGAAGAATTTACGGTAAATAAAATTCATGTTTAAATCTCTATTATAATGGCTTGGTTAAAAAAAAAAAGGTCATGTTCAAGTCATAATAATAGTACACAGGAAGAATAATAATAAGTGTCTAATGTTTTTACTTCAGCCAGTACTTTTATTCCAGCAGAATATTTTTTTTGCAGTATAAAACAGCAGCATAAGATGGAGTCAGCTTAGGAACAGAACGCCTCTTTCTGCCTTTCAAGGGTCTCAGCTCCTGCTTGGACTGTAATTGGTAAAGTCAAATATCTCAGGGGTATTTCTCTTTTCCTCTTCTCACCTCTGTTCCTCGTCTTCCCTTTAAAATTATACACCCTCAGAACAAAGCACGAGGCTGTAGTCAGTCAACAACAATTCTGATTTTAGTTCACACAGTACTTATTAGTTCCCGTTAARAGTTTGTAAAGTGGTTAACCTTCACCCAGTTTATGTCATCTGTTCTGTGTCAAACAGGGAGAATCAAATCTTTGTCTCTGCCTATTTGAGGAGATTATATGTGGCTTTAAGGAAGCAATGAATCTATTGTATAACTGTTTGTAGTAAGCAGAGTTGTTGGTTTTTGCAAATGCTTTGAAGTTACTCAAGGGTTCATAATCTAGCCAATTATTTCTCAGTTCTCTGCTTTTAACTGACTTCTCTCTCATTTTATTCTCATTCCAGGTGGTTGCATATCATTATTGCCAGGCAGATAACACGTACACCTGCTTGGTGCCAGAATTTGTACACAGTATTGCAGCCTTGCTGTGCAGAGCGCATCAGCTCTCAGCGTACCGAGAGCTGCTGCTGAAGGAGCCCCACCTCCAGAGTATGCTCAGCCTGCGCTCCTGTGTCCAAGACCCCATGGCTGCTTTCCGAAGGGGGGTTCTGGAACCACTAGCTAACCTTCGTAAAGGTAAAAAGAAAAGAAAAAAAGTATATTTTCAAGTATTTTAGTCGGCAGCTTTTAAGATTTTGCTCATGAAAACTTCAGAAGACATAACGGCGCTTGTCTGATGTTCTGCTGTGAAGCTTTTGGAAACCTTTGTAGGAGGAACGTGCCCTGGAGTCATGGCTATTGTATTGTGCAAATATTGTAAAATAAGAGCAAGAATGATTTCACACATAGAAATTATTTCCAAAAGTCAAAGTGAGCTAGCATAAAAAGTAAAAGATAAAAAAAACTAAAATATTTGTTGTGTGATGAAACGGTTTCCTTCGAAACAGCATCAGTTCTTATACGTGTGTTTKTAGTTGTAATTATTAAAGCTTATGGTCAGGAGAATCATTAATATCATGCAAAAATCACTTTTTTAGTGGTCAAATGTATTTTTTTATGTACGTGGTGTCTCTAGGAGTGCAGAAAATTTGAATGTAGTTTCTCCCGGTGCTGCGTAGATACAGTATCTTTATATTCTGTTTTGGATCATGTTTATCAACTCATTCAGTTTTCTCTATTTTCTRCGATGTTTTCTGAACTATTACCTCAAATTATTTGCGACGGAACTCCCAAAAAAGTTCTGGAATTAGTCACTACAATTTGGTCATTCAACATGTAAGGCTAGATGGACAAATATTTAAATTAATTTGTAAATAAAAAAATTTTGCACCGCCATATAGTCTCTATCAAACTAGAGAGGACCATTCTGGAAGCTGGAGGTGGGCGTGGTGTCAAGCGGCTCATTTAAAGAGACAGTATCAAAATGAGTTACTGAGCAAACGGGGGAAAGAGGGGCTTGTGAAGTTACAATAGAGGATTTCAGACAAAATGCAGTTCCACTTTATATAAACCCTAAGTGAAGGATTTAAATGTGAAAAGGGATTTCAAAGCACATGTCTCATTTAATGAGTTACATCAAACTGATGCTAATCATCATTTTCAGAGTCTTTAGGTTAAACAGAGGCTTAATACTGAAAGAGAGACAAATCTGCTACCAAAAGGATGTTAAAGACCATTTCTTGTCACAGATCAGACACCTTGGTCAGATCTGTGACATGAATCTTTAGCAACGAGATGGGAATTTCACTCGCTCCTTTCTCGTGTGCTTTACATCAGTGTTTTACAACCCTGGTCCTCAAGGCACACTACCCTGCATGTTTTAGAGGTTTCTCTGCTTTGACACACCTGATTCAGATGGTTGCAGTTCAATAAAAACCTCTTAATTAGTTATCAATTTAAATCAGCTGTGCTGAAGCAGGGAAACCTCTAAAACATGCATGGCAGTGTGCCTTGAGGACCAGGGTTGAAAAACTCTGCTTTACATTAATATTCCAAATACTCCCCTCCTCCTAATAAAAGTATGAATAAATGTTGTGTTAAGTGCTAAAACGTATAGCTCCTTTCTGAACTTCCACCACAAGATTTTTTGTTGATGCTAATGTAACCCCTTTTGTCAATTGTGTTTTATGGTTACAGAGAGGAAAATTTCAGAGGAGGACCACATCATCTTAATAGATGGGCTGAATGAAGCAGAATTTCATAAGCCTGATTATGGAGACACCATTGCCTCTTTCATCACAAAGATCTTTACCAAGTTCCCTCCCTGGCTTAAGCTGGTGGTCACTGTTCGGGTCAACTTGTTGGTAAGCAAATTAGTTCAGTATTTTTAAAAAAAATCAAAGTTTAAGTTGTGACAGAAAAAAAATTGTATTTGCATTTTTGCTACACATTACAACTCCTAAGTAACAGCTTTAATGAGCTGTGTGTGAGTTTWTTATTGTTTTTTCTTCAATGCAACTGTTGAACCTATATATAAAAAAATCTCAACTGGGATCTGCTGTCCCTTCTCACCACGCTCTCTGACATCAGACTGTCGATTCTGACGCATGTGAGACTTCCTGTTGAAAAAGTCGGGCACATCCAGGAAGATTCAGGAAAGAATTGGCAGAYGGTGACCCAGGACTGCGAGACAGGAAAGAGCAGCCAATGACTTTGAGCCGACTAACTTGGCGACCCTTGGTTAAACACCTACAAAGATCTTCCGTGGCTGTGTCGAGCTCTCACTCTGGCTTCAGATGAGGTTTTGGCAAGCCTGACGAGCCGTGTGACAACCRGTGGAGGCTTGGATAATGGTGCGGCAGCCGACTGACATTCAGAATGGAGGTTATTAATGTTCGGGCACAAGCCAGGCTTCAACTTCTGTCCATCAATATGCAGCACAAATTCAAGCCATTTAGTTGAATTCAGCACGCTGTTTAGAATTCTTTTAATGGCAAGGAACACTCACTGTGATGAATCCGTATGTYTGATCATTAGTATTTATTTTGTGTTAGTAATATCTTAATTAGGGATTCTTTGGTGAAAACAGTAAAACATTTATTTGTTATAAAAGCAGATATTTTACAGCCTCAGAACGCTTTCTCAGTTTCTGTTGCTTAATAAACTAATATTCGGTTTATCTGCGAGGCATTGCTTACTCCTCATTCGTCTTATGGATTGTGATCTCAGCACATTCATACATCAAGTCTGTGCCTGTGTGCTGTACCCTGTCATGAGGAGGAACAGGGAAGTGTTATCTCACCAAGGCAATGTTTCTCAAGCCTCAGACAGGCAGAGGATTGCGGGATTAAGGTGCATTGATTCCTCCAACCCCCAGGACGCGGATTGAAATGTGAGCTTTGGTTAAAACCTCTGCTTGCCCGCTAGCCACCATCCCATCCATCCCCTGCCTCTTAATACTCATTTTTACCTCCTTGTCTTCTTCATAGCCACACGTTTTAACTGTAACAAATGTCTGCCTTGGCCTGATAGCTCAGTGAGCTTTGCTTCCCTGCTGCTCAGAGAGCCTCTTCTGATAATAAATGTGCACAAGCAGAATTTACTTCAATAACAGCTCAGGTTGCAAAGACAAGTTTTGACTTGGACTTTTTTTCTTTTTTGCAAATATGTTTTTCATTGCAAAATAACTATATAGAAAATAATTAGCCATTTAAAACATTTTAATTTATTGATTTTTGTTTTTTCTTTGAGGGCTGACAGACAATTAGAGGAATGTTAAAAGCATGTTGCCTTTCAGGACATCTTCTTAAACAGATCATCTTTTGATGAGCGGGGATGGAGTTGTAGACCTTTCAGTTAAATCTTGAGGGGAAAAGACATTGTGCACAAATCTGTTAGACTTTAATGTGTGTGTTGTATGTCATTTTAAGCTACTGTCATGCCAAATGTTAGCTCAGCTTCCATAAAATTGAATTACAGTTAATTTTGTGTTGGCTGATGCGATTAGCTTTGGCAGCCATCTTGAATTGGGTTGATTCTGCAAATGACTCCGTTGTAGATGGAAAATAAAGTCATTACTTGCTGAAAGGTTCACTAAAATGTCCACTTCTTAATTGTTAGATTTTTTTTTTTTGCTGACAATACAGGCTTACACACAATCAGACAGGCAAAACCTGTTTTGTTTATGCTGGTTGGCAGTAATAAGCAGAGGTGTTGCACAAATATTCTTCATCAGAGATTGTCTCCACTCTGTCCATCACAGGAGATCACCAGCCTCCTACCCTTCTCTCAGATCTCCCTGGATGACTTTTCGGACAACGAGGAGATAAGCACCGACCTGAATGCTTATATCCAGCATCGCATCAACAGCAGCAAAGAAATCYTGAACAATATCAGCTTGAACGGCAAGGCTGACCCTGGCACCGTGAGCAAGCTCAGCAGCCACCTGATCTCACGCAGCCAGGGCTCCTACCTGTACCTCAAACTCACCTTGGACCTGTTTGAGAAAGGCCACCTCGTGATCAAAAGCTCCAGTTACAAAGTAGTGCCYGTTTCCCTGGCCGAACTCTACCAGTTGCAGTGCAACATGAAGTTCATGACCAATTCGGCCTTCGAGCGCTCTGTGCCCATCCTCAACGTGGCTCTGGCCTCGCTGCACCCCATGACCGACGAGCAGCTGTTTCAGGCCATCAACGCCGGCTTCATCAGAGGCGAGCTACCATGGGAGGACTTTCAGCAGCGCATGGAGCTGCTCTCAGGTTTTCTCATCAAACGACGGGACAAGACGCGCATGTTCTGCCATCCCTCCTTCAGAGAGTGGCTGGTGTGGAGAGCTGATGGAGAGGGCACAGATTTCCTCTGTGACCCCAGGTCAGTCCTCTAAATGTAATCCACTCTTTGAAATGTGGGCCTCTGTTGTACATAAGCTTGTAAAGCATTAAGACGGTGCTCTTGCAGCTAACACACACACACCTCAGTCTGCAGCAGAATACAGTTAAGTGGTGTTGATAAAATGAAAGTGAAATTGGTAAAAATTCTGTAATTTTTTTTTCATTTTAAGCTTGGAGCAAAGATGAAAATTCAACCCTTGATGTCAGGACGATAGGGATGCCGGCGCACACTTTTGTACAAACCAATTATTGAACGAGCTTTTATTGCACAATATGACTTCCAATTAATTGTTCATGGTGTTTGCTTTTGTGGCTGCTGCTGTTTTGCATGCAGGCAAGCGAGTGTGTATAAAGAATAAGCTGAATCAATATACGCAGCACGACACACACTTCTGAGTCAGCGAGGTAATTGTGTTTGAGATGCAGCAGGTACACCAATAACCATGACAAGTTTTTATTTTGCACAGTGTTAAAAACAATTCACAACAATGCTCCATTACACTGCACTGCTGCAGAGTATATAAAATTAAATTTTAATTAAATAGAAGCCTTTTTTTTCTTACCGCATTTCTGAAGCTGCAACTTTGTTTATCTGCAGGCTGACTTAGCATTTAAATCTTTTTAAATAGGCAATATATATATANATATATATACATACATAATTAACCCAAACATATCATTTATTTTTTTAAACAGGTGCACAGAATATAAAAACTCTGAGACAGATGGGTCTGWACAATTTAAAAATCTCGATGTGTAACGATCATACATACTTAATAAGCTGAATGATGTCAGTTTGCCCCCCCCCCCCGTATTGATGTCTGTAAATGAATCAGCGCCAAGATTCATATTCTGGTCATTCACAGCCTTCCAGCTTCATTAAAAACAAAAGGCTCACAGTCTGGCACAAACAGACAAAAGCCTGCCTCGCTGCACCTTCCAGTGCCTCGGCTCAAATGGAGAGAACTGCAACCAGATCAAAGTGAGCTGCAATCATGCATGTCCTTTTAATGAAGTTCGGTTTTAATTGGTGCCAGAATGAAATAAACGACCAGTTATTATTATTTTTTTTAAACCCTTTTCTGCATCTTTCTGTGGATCGCAGCACAGCAGCTGTGACTCTTTCATAACGGGTCAGAATAAAGAGGTTCTCCATGACACCGCCAAGTTGCTCTTTATTACCCGAATAATAAGTGCTTTCAAGTTATACGGTGCAGATGGACAATCTTTCCAAGGTTTCACAGCAGTTTTTTTTTTCCTTCAGGACCGGCCACGCTTTCATGGCCTTCATGTTGTCTCGCCAAGAAGGGAAACTGAATCGACAGCAGACAATGGAACTGGGCCACCACATCCTGAAGGCCCACATATTTAAGGTACAGCTGCTGAGATATTTATTTGAAAATCTCCGTTCTGTGTGCATCAAGTGTTGAGAAAACCTCTGCCTCTCAGTGTTACCACTGTTAATTTTAGGTGCTTGTTTTGCTTTCTCTGCAGGGTCTGAGTAAGAAAACTGGCGTGTCGTCCAGCGTGCTTCAGGCTCTGTGGATCAGTTGCAGTGCTGATGGACTCTCTGCAGCCTTGGCTTCCCTGAGGAACCTCTACACACCGAACGTCAAGGTGAGCACTGTCTTTGTTTCCTTTTTATTTTTTCTGTGTGTAAAAACAAATGAGGTCAGAAGCTGATGAAATTAAGTAAGTTTTAGCATCTCATATTCAAAGTGTTTTTTTTTATGGTTAATATCACTAAAACTAATATGTATTGTCAGATGAAGCAAGAAGTTGTCTSTCATTGGTTTATTTCCCATTTTCATGCTTGCATTAATACATGTGTTGATGTTGAAATCACATCAAGAGCTTTACCTGTCATTTCTCTGTCATAAAGGAAGTTAATTCTGCAGAACGTACAGTCCTAATGTTGTATTAACAGCATGGAAAATTAAAACTGTTAAAGTGAAATTGAAAAATGTGTCGAACACCAAAGACTAATTTAAGATATATTGGGGGCAGAAAATGATACAAAACAAAACTGACTCAGAAATTCACTTTAAAGTTGTTGCTGTTAAAACTTGTCACAGAAAAGGGCTCGGTAAATACCAACCRTGCTTTTTTTTAATCACTAATTAGGCTAATGCCGGTAGTAGAGTTCATTAAGCTGCTAACAAAGAACAAGCGTGTGTAAGTCCGTCCACTGTGGTTGTGTTTTCAGGGAAAATAATGATTGGCCTTTTTCTGGAAAAGCTATTACATCAAAATTATGTATTCTGGCTGGCGATGAGATTGGTTTTCTTTGCCATTAAGGTTATGGTTTCTGTGAGGCTCAATCACTTGTTGTCCAGTGTGAGTTATTGGGCTTTCTCGTAGAATCACTCAAAGAGACATTTACACAACGACCTTGTTGTTGTGTCCTTTGGGGAGAAAATAAGAGTCTCTGTTAATTGATTCTGCACACAATTTCATCCCCTGTTGCAGAATTCTCATTTAGCGATGTAGTTTTGTTCGATAAGTTGTTTATTATTGATTTCCTCCTTTTGGGAGAGTAAAACAAACTTGATAATTGTGTTCAGTGTTTGTAGCCACTTTATTTGGTTGTGACCTTTGCTTGAAGAGTTTGAAATAGCCAATGAGGACACAACAGTATCTACAAATCCCTGTCACTAATCGACTCGAGGAATACTTAAGATGAGATTTGCATACAGCCAAGAGTCCATCTTAAAATATAATTACAGCAGGTTATTTATTTCTGTATCGTAGCTGTCACATTTTGAGCTTCTGAACAGAGTAGAACAATAGAAATGTCAGCTGATGAGTGCAATAATTTTTCCAGAAGCTGCTGTATAAATAACAATTTTTATTGTTTTATTGCACCTTAAACAATCTTTTAGCAAAAATTCTTAAACAAGTAGATGGATTTTTTTTGGAACATTCAGAAAGACAGAATGCATTGATACTAGGTCTTGATTTCATTGATTTATTTTTGTGTGTTTGTACAATCAGGTAAGCCGCCTCCTGATGCTGGGAGGAGCTAACGTGAATTACCGCACAGAGGTTCTGAACAATGCTCCAGTGCTTTGCGTCCAGTGCCAMCTCGGCCACCATGAGATCACCTCACTGCTGCTCGAGTTCGGTGCCAGCGTGGACGTTGTGTCCGAAAACGGCATGAGCCCCTTGTGTTTCTCTGCAGCTGGAGGACACTTGGGATTAGTGATGCTGCTCTGTAACAAGGGAGCAAAGGTGAGAAAATAAACTTTCACGCTTTAGTTGGTTCTCTGATCTGGTTCGTAATTAAAAGCGTCGGACCACCGGTTAACGCTATCTTGTATATCCGTTGTTTGCAACATTCAGTATCTACCTGAAATATTGGGCATGTTTCCAGGTTCTGTGCAGTAATTCCAAGAATCTTGTGCTCCAGGTGGATCATGTTGATAAGAGTGGCCAGTGTGCTCTGGTGCACGCCGCATTGCGCGGACACACCGAGATCATCCAGTACCTGCTGGAGCTGGAATGGAGTGCTGAGGGGCAGCAGCAGGACGGCTCTCTGAAGAACAAAGCTCTGCAGCAGGCTTTGATCGCAGCCTCGAGCATGGGACACACACAGGTCTGACAGACACGTTTAAACGTACTCAACAAGCAACCAAAACACATTAATGAGTGGGAGGATGAAGAAAATCAGGAGAGGTTTTCTCACTGGGGATGACTCTGCTGGGCGTAATGCTGAATTACTTTTATTTATTTATTTATTTATTTATTTATTTATTTATTTATTTATTTATTTATAGTCGTTTATTTACTTATTGTTTTTTTTGTTTGTTTTTTTGTTAAGATCCCCATTAGCTGTAGTAGAACTACAGCTATTCTTACTGGTGTCCAACAGAATTATATTTACAATAAAAAGAACAAAAACAAAGAACAAAGAAAAAAAAAACAGAAAATATAGATTTATTTTAGTATTTTAATCAAAAATAAAAATGGAGATCTCCATACTTCCTGTTTCCACAACCTATTTCAATTTGATCTTTCTACAACCAGTAAAGACATGCATATTATATCTACACACACACACACACACACACACACACACAC